TATGTCATTTTGGACTTGTCTGCAAAATGTGAGGTCATTCGGACGTGGTTTGGTTGGGTTTTTTTTATCAAAAATGGAATTTGAAAGTTCTTGAGATTCATAGGCTTGAATCCGATGATGATTTGATGTTTTGATGTTATTTTGGGTGTTCCGAAGATTGGGACAAGTTTGAATGATATTGTGGGACATGTTGATATAATTGGTTAAGTTCCCGAGGGCCTCGGGTGGATTTCGGAAGGTTAACGGAATGGAATTCGGACCCAAAAAGAAAAGAAAAAGCTGCTACAATTTCTGCTGCTAAGCTGTCTTTGGACAGCAAATGTGCAGTCGTGCAGCGTACTTCGGAGGCCTATATCGTTTGATCTACAAGGAATTGTGAGATGATTCAAACACGAAAGTTGTAGCCCTTCGTGTCTAGTTTCCAGAAAGCTAAGGAAATCGTAATTTGGACAGCTGTAGAGAAAGTTATGATCGATTGAAGATGACTAGTGGAGCAGTTTCTCCAGAATTTTCGGATTTCATGGAGCCGACTTTAGAAGCTCATATCTCGGGATATATAAAAAGTTATATGGTGTAAAACCTATCAAATTAAATATCTTCGAGTCTAGTTTCTAAATCTTCAAACCGTTTATAATTTGGATATTTATACAAGACGTTATGGGTGTTTAAACAGAAGGTGTCCGATAAGGGAAAATTTTAATAAGATGTACAACTTGTATAGCACAAGTGCAAGGTACAACTCGACGAAGCACGAACAGATTCCTTAAACACGGATTTGGCTTATTTCTTTCATTTCTTTCATTTGGCTTGGATGATTTTGGAGAGAATTTCAAGGGGGATTTTATCAAGCATCAAAGGTGAGTTGTTTCTACTTATTTCCAAGTTAAATACAAGATTATATGTGAATTAGAACATGAAAATCAGTAGAAAAGTGGGGTTTTAGGGCTTGTGCTTTTGAGATTTTCTAGGGTCGATTTGAAGGGTCAAACGAGCTCCGATTTTTGTGTTCTTTATATGTACGGACTCGTGAGAGGACGAAGAACATCTTGGTATAAAAATTTCTGAGTTTTAAGACGTGGGCCCGGGACTTGAGTTTTGTCAAATTCGTGAATTTTGATATTTTTCGATTGCTTTCGATTGGGTATTGTCCCTTTAGCATAATGCGACATATTCGTTGTGATTTTGGGCAAATTCGACGCACGTGGAGGCCAATTCGAGGGGCAAAGGCGTCGCAAGCTAAATAAGTAGCCGGTTTGAGGTGAGTAATTTATGTAAATGATGTCCTGAGGGTTTGCAACCCCGGAATTTCACATCGTAACGCTATATTGAGGTGACTTGCACGCCGGATAACGAGAGTGGGGTAGAGCACCATTGGGTATTGTGACTTAATCCGTCCCGAGAGATGTTTTTACCGTGTTTTCTACTTGGATTTAATCGTTACATTTAGGTTTCTCGCCAATTATTTGAATCCTTCAAGGATTGACATCACTGTTTTCGCATACATGCATATCATTTGATCTCAGTCCAAGGTTTTAAATACTGTTTTGCAAACTCAGCCATCTTTCTAAGATTTGAAAACTTAAATGATATTTCGGGGTAGAGCACCATTGGGTATGGACTGAGCATGGATCGGGCTGCGTGCCGCAGCAGTGATTTGAAACAGTGGTAACAATGACACTGTATGATGTGACTTGAAACAGTGGTAACAATGGCACTGTGTGATATAAATTGGTCAGGTAACAATGACTGACCAGGACTTGATTGATGCCACGAGATGGCTTGTTATTGCGCTTGGGCTGTAGGAGCCCCTCCGGAGTCTGTACACACCCCCAGTGAGCGCCGTCGACGATAAATAAATATGGATGGCTCGGGCTGCACGCCGCAGTGGGTACCAGAGGGTACCGTCATATGCATTGCATTGCACTCATGCATTTATTCCTCATCTGCATTATCCGCCATAATAATTATGTGCTCTTATTTCATTGACTGGTTGCTTCATACTGTTCTGAGCCTGAGGGGCTGATACTGTTCTGAGATACTGAGCCCGAGGGGCTGATACTTTTCTGAGATACTGAGCCCGAGGGGCTGATACTGTTCTGAGATACTGAGCCCAAGGAGCAGATTTCTACTTATTATTTTGATACTGAGCCCGAGGGGCAGATTTCTACTCGTCATTTTACTGCCAAATTACCTTTTTTTTACTGGTTTTAAAGAAATTTCACATGATGTTTCACTGAATTGTTATTTTAAATGATTTCACTGCTTCTGTATAGAGTGTTATGTGCCTTAACGTGTTTTCTTACCCTCAATTATTATTTATATTTATTACTCACTGGGTCGGAGTACTTACATTACTCCATGCACCATGTGTGCAGGTACAGATATTCCTGAGGCATAGAGCGAGTTTTCTGCTGTTCAGTTTTCATCGGAGTTATCGAGGTAGCCGCATGGCATTCGCAGACCCGTTTTCTCCCTTATCTTCTGTATTTATGATATCTTCAGATGTCGTTCCTAATTCCATACCTTGTAGAATTTTAGTAAACTCTNATGTCGTTCCTAATTCCATGCCTTGTAGAATTTTAGTAAACTCTGTAGTAGCTCATGACTTGTGACACCCCGGTTAGGGCTGAGTTGGGTTGGATTTTCGTATTTTATCTATACTTTCCGCTATTGGATATTATTAAACCATGTTTATACTATAATTGTGTTAATTAATTGTCTTAAAAGGATGAATTGGGTTGAATGACTGACCTTGTCTTCATGAGAGGCATCATCACGACCAAGTTCGGGAATTGGGTCGTGACAATTTAAAAAATGACTTGAAGGCTAACCTCTCGTTCCTCCTGAACCGAGGTTTTCTGAGCCTCTTGTTGGTGTTCTTGGCGTATACTCCTGTTGGTGGGGGAGCTTATGTCGACGCGTTGGGCGTTGTGTGAGATCACGTCTACGGGAATCGGTTCTGGTGCATCCTCAGGGTTTCGTGGTGGTACACCAATACATGGAACAACTACACCATTCTCCCCATGGTCCTCAAGACTGTTGTTTTCATGCACGTTCACTGAGTTAGACATTTTGACCTGAAATTAAAGATTCTTGGACGAGAAAAAGTCTGAAAGATAACTTACATTACGAAGTAAACCAACAAGAAAACAATCACTATTATTTTTAGCCCCACGGTGGGCACTAAACTGTTTACCTTGAAAATGGTAATTACAATTAGATTTGATTTTGTGGTTCTAAAAATACGTGATCTATTTTTATGCTAGTTGTTAGGCAATAGATGCTAAGTATTGTGAGCACCTAATTTTTGTTCTACATGAAAATGACTCCTAAAAATAAACCAAAAATAATTTTTAAGGGATTTTAGAAGTTTTTCTTTATTTATTTGCATTTCATGCATTTTTAATATTTTTAAATCATAGAAAAATGATAAAAAAAATATCACGTTTTAATTTCATGTCATCTTAGGTCCAATTTGCATCTAGCAATTAATTTTATTAAGAAAAATCACAAACAATGATCATTTTTTACATATTTAGCTTTTAGTCTTTAAAAAGTAGTGTTTCTATTTAGTTTTAAGTTAATTAGTTGTTTTAATAGATAAACAATTTTAATTTTTACAAATTAGATTGATTTAGGATTTTATTAGATTGTAAAATCAAAGAAAAAGAGAAAAAAAATTGATTTAGTCTTTCTACCCCAAAGTTAATTAGCCACAAATTCATGACCCAAATCCCTTCAAACCAAAAACATTGAGTTCATACTCACTCCGCATTTGACCTAACCTAATTCCTACCGTTATAAAATAATGTTAACCCCTAAAATCAAGGAATAGAACTTAATTCCCAAAAAATGAAAAGAAGGCAGCGGCAAATCCTCTGAAAAATCCATCTCCATCGTCATTTTTTGACAAGGAGGAAGCCAGCGAAAGGGCATAAGATGAATCGGGTGCAAGCCCTCTTTCTCAACCAAAGAGCACTCTAAAACTAAATCGAAAATACTCCAAACAACCAACAAAAACCAGCTTGAAACCAATCTCTTCCGCTAGCAACAAACAACCTCTATTTACAGAAGCTACAATCAAGTAAGCACAATTAGTCTCCTTAATGTATTCTCTTATGACAACAGCCGTATTGCTCAGATCTCTTCATCACCGTGACATAGTTACCTCTTCTCGTTCTGCTTGTAAAACTTAGAATTCGAGGTCGTCAGTGTTTTCCGTTCGCTAGCTTCAGTTCCGGTCTAGACGAAGAAGGAAGCAGTTGTGTTCCCTCGGTGGATAGTGGATTTGGTGACTAGATGTACAGGAGTACCATTTATTGGAAAAGATGAGGTATATTCTTTTACCTCAATTTTTAAACTTCACGTTTTTTTTTGTTTGAAAAAATGAGGATATACATGATTTGTTTGCTGGTTGTGTCATACTCTACATTTGGTTAAGATATTATTTTTCGTTCTTCTTTTTGTGTTGCAAATGAGAATGAAGCTTTGTTTCTTAGCATGAGCATATTAGTTAGTTTAATTTAATTTTCTTTATTTATGTGTTTATGCCTTATCATCATTGAGTTAGTATATTAAATTGTACTTCTTAACTTGAAATTTAGACTATCTAGAAAGTATGGAATGGACCAGGTGATTGTTGGTTGTAATTTGTTAAGGTTCTAGATTTCTTGAAAACAAATTTCAAAGCAAATATTGGAATAGGCACAATAGATTTTAAACGTGCGCACCATTTCATTAATTTTGAGGTTTTCATTTCTTTTTGTCATTTTAGCCATTTAGGCCATGCATTTGGGTTGAATTTAGTTGGTCCAGCTTTTTCTTAAATCTAACATATAGGACAATTCTCCATAGAATAATTTACATACACCTAGTATATTTTTAAGCACGCTTTTAATAAATCATCGTGATTATGTTTACGTTCGCGTAACATAATTGCGAATTTGATTCTAAAAAAAAGACTCGAGGGATGCGTTCGCGCAACTTCAATCAAACTTTTCTTAATAAAATAAACAAAGCGTCATTAATTGTGGACACGTTCGCATGACATGATTTTTGACGCGCCAAGGAAAATGAGTATACGTACGCGTAACTCAATTCTTTAATTACTAATAAATCAAGTGATTAAAAGCGGTAAAAGGTAAATGCATATAGATCCTAAAATGAGTAATTAGAATTCTTTACTTAGAATTTCTGGTTCGCAGACTTTTAAATAAAGTCAAAAACTTCCTCGATTTGGGATTTAAAATAAACCGGTGACTTGGGACACCAAATAATTTATTCCAAGTGGCGACTCAGATAATTTAATTAATCTCATTTCAATTAATGTCACTTTAATTGAAAAAACTCTCATATACCCTCGGGTGTGTAAAAGGAGGTGTGACAAGTATGAGACTAAAAAATAAAATAAGAACATGAAAGCAATATGTTTAAGCAAACCGAGTGGCTGAGAATCGGGGCCTCGATGCCGAGCTCGATACTAAGCTATGGACAACCGACGAAGGACTAACAGTTTTGAGAGCTTTGATGAAGGCTCTTTATGATCAATAATCTATACTATATTAAAAGCACAAAGACCCTTAGCGAAATGTCGATCGCCTTTTTTACCCTTTAAAAACATATTTTACATTGGACAAAATTATAAAATAAAAAAACTTTCCCCATATTTAGGAGTTCTAAATTAAAAAAATTTAATATAATTTAGTGTTTGATATCTTCTCCTAATAAGAATACAATATATTAAGACATAAAAGAATACAAAAAAAGTACGGAGGAAATTTTTTTGTTTGTTTCCAACAAGGAAAATTCACGTTTTTGTGTGATATTTTTTATTCTTTGTCCTTGTTTAATCATAAAGACCAATTTTGCCTTTATTTTTCTTTCATATGATTTATTTGTTGTTTTAAAAACTTAAATCATAAGTATTTTCTTAGAAGCTTGGTTGTTAAATTCGTTAAAATTTACTACGACGTTAGGTTTTGAAATAGTAATTATTGTTGAAAAATAGTAATCATTAATTTGTGATAAAAAAATTAATTATCATAATTTAATTTACAGAAATACCTAAATTACCTCAATGCATATGTTAAAATAAATAAATGGAAAAGGACTTTTATTTTTTGGTAAAAAAGAACCTAATATTATTACTAAGAAAGTTTGTTACATAATTTAACTTTTAAACATGAATTAGTTACTAAACTCATCTTATAGCTAATAGGATTTTTTGTAATATATAACTGATTCTGTCACTAAGTAGGATAGCGATGAATTTTATTATTTAACTACATAATTTATTTGTCGCTAATTTTTTTCTCTTTGTAGTTAACTTGTCTTAGAATACATGGTACCTAGATGACTATTTTGATATGAAATTAATATAAAAGAATGACATTTAACAAAAATATGAAATTTATTTTTGTTAAAATAAATTCAGTCACTTATTTTAATTCAAAAATAATATTATATAAATTTTTAAAAGTTTTATACTCATTTAGATAGGTTACACGCGCAACGCGCGTACTTTAAGACTAGTGAGCAATAAATGAAGAACAATTAATAGAACATAGTAAATGTAAGCAATAAACGTAAATAATAGAATCAAGGGAGAATGTGTTTAAGTTAGAGAGCAGATAATGTTCTTGTTCTTGTATTGAATGTTGTGTTTTGTTACAAAATGACAAGGGTCCCCTTTATATATGAGGGAGAATCCCAACATAGTACAAATGTATTTATTACAAAGATATGAGGTTGGTACAGCCATTTAATGTCACGGTACGGGCTTGAACTAGTCTAATAGACTTTGTTAGCTTTAATCACGTGCCTTGAAAACTTCCCGTTTGTCCATCATAGTTTTTGATTTGCACTACCTCGAGGTCGATCATTAAGAACCCTCGGGGTCGAACCTCGAGCTGGGTCTTGAGGCTTCAGGGGCGGTCTCACGAAATGCCATAATGATCACAAAATCGGATCCTCTTATTTTTACCGTATACAACACGCATCTACGAAATGAACTATACTTTTCACGCCAGGTCATCACTCAAGAGAGTATTAAATTCACTTAAGTTTAGAATAAGGAGGTAAAAGAACGCCCGTAAAATTTAGGTGTGTAAGTAATTTTTCGGACAAGTTTAACAGGTACTTTATGCATTTTCTCAAATTCAAACATCAAATCCATGCAAAATATTCTTCTTTTGAAAATTCTTAATCTTGACATATTTAATTATATATGTCTTTGTCATTCCATTCTACGTTGTCTTCGAACATTATTAATTTTGGGCAAAATACATAGGTTACCCCCTGAGCTATGGACCAAATCCCTGTTATACACTTTTTGCGGACGAAAATTATCTTACACACTCAATCATTTCAGAGTGTCCCTAAAACACACAACTTTTTTCTTGACCAGTTTTTCAAAACATGTGTAATATCACGCACCAGTCATACAACGACACGTGTCATTAACTTAAAAAAATGAAAAAGAAAAAGAAAAACAAACCCCACCCAATTTTTTTTAACAAAAAGCAAAAATGGAAAGAAACTCATCTCCTTGAGGCTTCATCGTGCCTTCAATCAGAGCTTTTCAGCTCATATCTCTTTCTTCATCAACATTTCTCTTTCATTTTTCATCAATTAACATACACATATTCAAGAAAAAATTATAGATAGATGAAAAATATAACCTAGTTTTCACCGTCCCATCACCATTACTCACCTTCCACAGCCTTCTCAGTATCTCCATTGTCACCGACCACCAAAGAACTCAGACCTCCACCTTACAATTCAAACAAAAGAAATAGAAACCCTAAACAACTGGTCCTACCTTCTGATGCATTTTTTTTTGTTGAAAATTTTTCAGATATAACAAGTGGGTTTTCTCCATGGCTGCCCCATTGAAAAGGAAAAAAAGAAGAGAAGATTCTTCTACATTGTTCTTCTAATCTCACTTGAAGATTTCATTACAAATTCTTCTACACTGTTAAAAATTTCTTCCTGAATCGATTTTTCTAGATATTTTTCCTCGATCTATTACAATTTTAACAGATTTCTTAATTGAAAGTGGATAAAATGGATAGTAAACATCTATATTATCTCCAACTTGAACCAAATTATTTTAGAAAAATAAAAAAAGGAAGATATTGGAAAAGGACAAAAAGAAAATTTATTTAACTGTTGGATAAGTTTTATTAAATCTGAACCCTTTAAATAAAGCATGAGATGTACAGTTTTTATAGTTCAGACGCCTTATTTTGTTTGTAAAACATGCACCTGCCACTTAGATAAAGAGGTGTGTCTTAGGCACAATCTGGAAAGGTTGAATGTGTAAAGTAATTTTCGTCCACAAAAAGTGTGTAACATGGATTTAGTCCATAGTTCAGGGTAACTTATGTATTTTGCCTTAATTTTGCTATATTTAAATTGCAATCTGGTTTGATATTCTTAATAATGATGGCGAAAGTATTCTAGGTTGCGTTTTTCAATTTTCTCGATTATAAAATTTCAGCTACCTCAATATATAATTGGAGTCGTTTTCGAAAATTAAATAAAAGTTTGGCAAACATCACAATTCATATACATACAAAATTTATCGTCATTGTACAATTCCGAATAATTTCAATCTTGTGATGAACAATAAAAGTAGATGAACAATATTGCAGAGAAAGAGAGAGAAGAAATTCTTATTGAATTTTGGGATGATTTACAATGGGGTAAGACCCCTCTATTTATAGGAGAAAAATGACTTATCCACAAAGTAAAACTCTCTATAAGATAGACATTCACTCTAAACAGAATTCTATTCATAACACACCCCCTTAAATGTCTACTCGATAAGTAATATGCCTCATTAAAACCTTAACTAAAATAAAACCCAGTGGAAAAAAATTCTAGAAAAGGAAAAAGAGTACACATCTCTAATAATACGTCTTTTGGTTGCCTCGTTAAAAATCTTTCAAGGAAAACCCAGTGGGACAAAACCTTGTAAGGGAAAAAGAGTGCAACGCGCATTAACTCCCCCTGATGAAAGCATCAATTCACATCATTGAGCCTTCGCATCCCGATTTTGTACACTAGCTTCTTGAAGGTTGACGTTGGTAGAGATTTTGTGAACAAATCAGCCATATTATCACTTGAACGAATCTGTTGTACATTGATATCACCATTCTTTTGAAGATCATGTGTGAAAAATAACTTTGGTGAAATGTGCTTTGTTCTATCTCCTTTTATGAATCCTCCCTTCAATTGAGCTATGCATGCTGCATTATCTTCATACAAAATTATGGGTAACTTGTCACATTTCAAACCATATTTGTCTCGAATAAGATGTATTATAAACCTCAACCACACACACTCTCGACTTGCTTCATGAATAGCAATTATCTCAGCATGATTAGATGAAGTAGCCACAATTGATTGCTTAGTCGATCGTCAAGTTATGACAGTGCCTCCACAGGTAAACACATAACCTGTTTGAGATCGAGCCTTGTGTGGGTCAGATAAATACCCAGCATCAGCATAACCAACCAGATCGGGACTGCAATTGTT